CCCAATTACCACCCTCCATGTTAATGTTGATGTATGTCTCTCTCCGTTTCACATTTACTCAAAATGAAATAAATGATACTTCTCGGCGACAGTATCATCAATTCCTTCCAAACTTTAACCTTTTTCCACTTAATTTTTGATCACAAACAAATATGTCATCTAAGGAATAGCTATCAGATAAATACACTGCGCCGAAGACACGCAATTTGTCTTCTTATTTAACAGCGTACATCACACAATTCTTACGCAACAGTTACAGTCAGTAATGAGTTAACTTTACAAAGTTCACACAGTCAATTCAAACATTTTTTCAGTACTCACTCTTCTACCTACTGCTTCCAGTTCACTAACTTTTGTATGATTTATTTCATCGATGCTTATTTACGATCCAAAAAGATATACTGACAAATTCACTTATTACAACAAAGATAAGTTCTAGCCAGAAAAATAATTACAGCAAGATCTAACAGCCCCTGACGATACACTTATTTATCTATTCGTCCCACATCTTCTGTTATTCCAATCCCGCCTTAAAAAACTATCAACAATCATAGTCAGAAATTCTACTGCAGCAGTACAATACTTGTAGTAGTACACCTTCTAAGTATTTCGCTTAGCACTCTTATTAAACACTACTGTAAATATCTTCTAAACAATAACTGTTAATAAAATATATTAATCTCCGTAATAGTAAATTTATCTTTTAATAAAATACTAGTCATTTTTGTAGAACAATTATACTTTAACAGTATGAAAATAGAATTCTCACATAAAAGTACCTCAGCAAAAATATAAGAGAATACAGTAGCAGCACTTAATTGGTATGCATGAAAAATAAAGTACTCAAATAACAGATTCAACGCAACAACTACTTGTCTTTTTCCTGTATCTTTTTGTATTAGCCATCTTTTCCCGTATTAGCCATCCTATCATTCACAACTACTTGAATATACATTAAAAAATGAACCAAGCATGCAAAAGGCCGACTACTTTCCACCTCAAAGAGCTCATTTGTTATTACACGGACTGTTACTTTGCAAATAATCAAATGTACTACGCATTTTATATCGACTAATCCAGATCTATCGAATATACTGCGCACACTTTTCCATTTTCCAATCATAGCCAATTTTTGTATTTGGAAGCGCGATAGAACATTGGATGTAATAAATTGCTATAATTCTATACAAATTAATTGATGCGATTATTCCACAACGCTTTATATCGACCAGATCCAGAGTTTTCTTTAAGCAAAATATCATGTTGCCAAAATGGCATGCTCTTTTTGTGCTTGGCGAAATCAATGTCCGGATATTTCGGTTGTTCTGGATTTCTATCAACTGTTCTCATTTGTAAACGCCTTTTCAACAAATCTGCATGAACTTCTTTTGGATCTCGAAACTGATCCAAATATCTTGAAATAAAAATGAAAATTCAATTGCATCACATACCAAAAGAGCACACTGAAATTGGTAAAACTATAGCTTGCATGTATAGATTAAATGTAGAAGAATAACGTACAAATTAAAAGGTTGTGGTTTGATCGGGAACTCTTTCTGTTCCATTTTCAATGGTGGATTAGACATGTACTCATAAATTGGTGATTTCATTCCTAGAAAACTCGAGTCTATTAGAAGCAAGCCAATAAAGAAGCATTATGCAAATCGAGAAAATATATTTTGAAGACTTTCATGTTGTTAGGAAACAAACTTAGTAGACATAAATTTCCTCATCAGTTCTCTACTGAATCTCAGAAAAGTAGTTAATAAAAATTCAAAATGTTATGTCGTATATCTTTTGAAATGTTGATCTGCAAAATTTTTGACTGCAATCGCTGTTTTTTATACTACGTAGTGACATTATTCTCATAGCTAAATGCTTTTAAAATGGATTTTTAAAAGAGGCAGTAACTACATGAGAGTATAAAAAACGACACTACGTCATCCGTTTGCCTCGTTTTATCATCTTTTTATCTTTAAAGCAGTCATCCGTTAAAATCTTCGGAGCTAATAATCTTTCAATGAAAAAGTGAGATTAATAAAGACTGCTTTAAAGACAAGATAACGGAATAAAAAGATGATAAAACGAGGCAAATTTTAAACAGCAAACCAATTCGATGCAAAGCTTTATTAACAGAGAGATCCCATGTAACTTGAGCAAAAGAAACGGCACAAGGAGTCCACTGCTGTTCAAAGTCTTTGTATAGCTGTCCAACGTTAAAGATGCGATCTCCTAATGCATTACTGAAAAATAAGAATGAGCAAAGACATTTTCAAGCAAATTTAAAAATAATAAACAATATCAGCTAAATTATTCAACCCTTACTCTCTACCATCACAGAATATCACTTGTACAAGCAAAAAAATAATATAAAACTTGTTCACTACATAAAAACTAAAAGACCGTTCCAGTAGTTTTATCTTCACTTGTAAGTACATAGTTTAAAACAAGGCAAATAATACCTTCTTGGTTCCCTTGACGACAAGTCTATGACTTCTTTATGCCGTAGTAACAAAGCAACAATTCTATGAAATCCAGTTCCTTTGAATGGCAATGCTTGTAAATACGGTATTACTTCCGTCCCATCACTTACAGATTCACCATCAGGGATATTAGCTACTAACCAGTGGACAATCTCACCATCACATTCATATGGATTTCCATCAAGATTTAGCAATAACAATGAATTGAAACCAGCTCCAATAGATTCAATTTTCACGTTCGGTTTATTACCTTAAATACGACACAAAGTAGTGAGAAGAATTCAGTGATCAACAGATAGAAGAAAAATAGATAAAAATCTTCAGAATATTTAACATGATAAAATTTGCCGAGATAAGCCTATTAAATACTGAAAATAACAGATTCTTGAGTTACTTCGTCAATAAAATGTACTTGTATCAGAAGCGTCAATTAAATTTCCTTGATAAAGGGCAATACCATCCCACTCTATTTTCATATTTTGCGTATTATGCAGGAAAACATTGGCATGAAAAAGATCATCAAATATGCGGTAATGATGAAAAATACTTGTTTGCCAGTGGTCTACCGCTTTCAAATTTATTTTCACTGCAATCACTACTAGTAAAACATGACAAAATACAAATACGAATATCAACTCATTCGAAAATATGAAGTTAAAAAATAAAGAAGTAAAAGTAATGCAGCATTCCAGCCCTAATGACATATACTTACACTGCATTTTTCTGGACAACTTTTCCAAAACATCTTCCGGTTGCAGTGGTGGAGACGGGATTGGTAGCAAATCTCTTTTTTTAAAGCCAATATCATATCTTTCAATTTGCGGTACTGTAATGAAAAATAAACAGAAATGACTTTGGAATACTGTCAATTTATAAACACTTCAGCAAGACAAACAAAGAATATAATAACCTGCTAGACGTTCCTTCAATGATAACAGATGATTGTCTGGATCAATAACGTACATTTTTGGATAAAGTATTGGCTTTGATATCCGTGCTTTATACCAGGAATTTAACTCATAAAATCTACAAAAATAGTGAGAACAATTGAAGCTTTTGTTAGGGTACTAACTCTAATCAGTCAATCAGAATAACTTTCTCAACTTAACAAAACAAAATTCTGAATGAATTATTTATACGAAACATGCCTATTTCGATAAAAAGCTGCTGGTCCTGCCCAAGCTATAACTTTTGGTCGCCACGGCCGCGCAACTCGCGGCGTTCCCTTTACATGATGAGCATGTTTAACGTATATATCAGCATAAACTGAACGTGGCATGCGTTTCATTCTACAAAAACCTTTGTATGAACTACAAGACCCGTAACAAATTAGCAATACACACAGCAAGTAATGTAAGCCACCATTGAAAGGTAAAGACAAGCACTTTTCTCAAAACCAAGTTCGATAGGGCTCATTGCCAGTTTTGAAACAAAATTCAGGCTGCGTTAAATCAGTACATTAGTGTTTGAATTTTGTTAGCTAACATGAGTCTCGTGGTAATTCGTCAGATGTCTAGTTAGCGTTTTTTTTAGTTAGTTGTGATGAGAATTACTTTGGTATCAAACAAGTTTCTTGAAGTTGTGCTTGTTAATACAATCGTATCGCATTTTGTGATCCATAAATGTATTAGCACCTTTTTTGAATTCTTTTTTGACTATTTTCAGCTGCTTGCAGTGTAACCCGTCCGTAATCACGTTTTTACTTTACCACATGTTCATTTTAGCAAATATGATATGCTATAGTAGTAACAGTTAAAATGATAATTTGCAATTGGTTTCGTTCTTCTTCACTTTTATATGACCCAGTTAGTTTTTCAGGTGTGAATTATTATTACACCCACACGTGGGTAATACGGAAGTGCGAAGTATGAATAATTTACAGATAGATTTAAGGCATGTTAGCATGTATCAAAGGTAATGAAAGGGTTGCGTGAAACGTTGGATGATAGCAACACTTCAAAGTATATCTCAGAAAGATTTGGAACAGATGGCAATGATAAATGTTTCATACGGCTATTGGATATACAAGATATGGACAGTATTAAAGCAATTTGCCTGGAGTCATTTCCGATACAATATCCAGACAGTTGGTTTCAGGAAGTGCTTGACGGCCAGTTGATCAGTTTCGGAATTGTTTGCGAAAATGTCCTTGCTGCTATTCTCGTTGCTGAACTGAAGATAGTAGCAGAGTGCAATACTGAGGTTTTCTTTTCTTGCAATTTTTTCTTCTTGTAGGAAGCTTAACTACTTAATATCAGTAGATAATTTCATTAACGATTTTATAATTCCATATAAGTTATCGGACAGAAACAATTTTCTCATATGGAGGGTATTATTCTTCACATAACAAAATCAGAATTTTATTGTTTAAAAAATCTTCATGAACTTCATTTCAAGGATCGTGACCTCTTACCTGGTTACTGTTTACCGGTAGTATATATATTAAGTGTTGCTGTACGTCCTCCTTATCGAAGACGAGGTTTTGCTTCTCGTTTACTCAATCATCTTATGATTACAGTTGTACAACAGCCCCCATATCCAAAAGCTGTTTATTTGCATGTGTTAGCCACAAATTATGGTGCCATCAGTTTTTATAAAAAACACGGTTTTTATCACCATACTACACTTTTGTAAGTTTTTAAAGTTACAGATGAATCGCCCATATATTTGGCTTGATATATGATTTCACTACTTTCATTTTCATTTATTTCAGATATTCCTTTTCCTTCATACACGAAATCATTTGTATAATTCAGTTCAGTAAATAAAAAAACTCCTTTACAGGAATTACTACTGCATCAATGGTACGTTCGGTGATGGTTTAACATTTGTGCTTTATGTTAATGGTTCGACTTGGTCAGCATATCGATTCTCCTCTCTGTTTGCTTCTGTTTTTTGTTTTCCTCTAAGAATTTTTTTTAAAATGAAATACATTTTAGGCTTTTAGATTTGGAACTGCATTAAAGATAGCGTGATGGATTTGAGACTATACTGTTAAGGCTTAGGCTAATCAGTTTTTGAATTTAATTGAATGCAATTTTAAACTACAGTTT